GAATAGATCAAGTAAAAAAAATGAGCAAGCAAATGCATGTATGAACGAACGAACGAAAAATGAATGAATAGATGAGCGAATGAATGAGTGAATGAATGAATAAATAAATCAACTCAATTCATAACTAAATAAAAATTACCAGTCAGCTGCATAAAATGTAACTAAAAATATACAATCTAATCTCTTTTATGGATATTTGTCAGATAAACATTATCTAATGATAACAGTTCTACGCTTTGAACGAGCACTGCAATGGTTTAGTAGTTTGCATGGTGTATCAAATACACAATACTATTTACATACAATACCATAAACATACAATAACATATAAATACAATTACATACAAATACAATACCTTGTACATACTTTCATGTTTGTATAATGGAGTATTATGTATGCTTCATTGATTCACTCCAAATCAATAAGTTGTCTACATGCATGCATGTAACATTGGCAATGCTAATAAGTTGCCAAGGTGCACAGGAAAAGAGGCTTGTTTCTATTATGTGATCAATTTAGAATTGAAAACTCCCAATTTTAAAACTTTTTTAGGAACTTTTTTGATAAGAGAGAAATTGTTTTATCCTAGATTCTAATCCACTCAAAAAATTTTGGAAATCACGAGTTTTTCATAGCTCATGCAGAACGATGATGAATATATATATATATATATATATAAATAACCCAATCAAATATTTCATAATCAGCTAAGATAACGTACCGTGAAATTTGTTGTTTCTACCATTGAAACTAATTTTTAATAGACTTCACACCAACAAAACAGAATTCGGCATTAAAAATTTCTTCTCCTTTTGTCAATTTGTAGACAAAGAGAAGGACAAAAAAACAACGAAAATGATGATGAAGATCGGGCAAAACGAAGAACGGTCAGCTGAAATTATTTAAAAAGTTCAAATTCTGATAAATTTGTTAACATTCTACAATAATTAATAAACATTAATCATAGGTCGGTGTCATTGGTTCAACTGGCCATCAGCCGACACATGTTACTAGAGTAAAACTTTCAGGCGCTCTCTTTTTCTGTACCTACTAGTTAGAAATAAGAAGGATGTTGAAAATATGCCAGTAACTGAATGCAAAATAGAAAGGTGAAAGGTAAGATGGATAAATGGAAACATAATTAATGAATGAATGTTTGGAAAAATTTGTGAATTCATTCAATCAATCATTCGTTCGTTCGGGCGTTCGCTCACTCGCTCACTCGCTCACTCACTCACTCACTCACTCACTCACTCACTCACTCACTCACTCACTCACTCACTCACTCACTCACTCACTCACTCACTCACTCACTCACTCACTCACTCACTCACTCACTCACTCACTCACTCACTCACTCATTCATTCATCCATCCATCCATTCATGCGTTCGTCTGTATAAACTGGTTGTCTACCGAATGACTATAACGAATAATTTCACTCTTTTTTACTATTACTTTTGTAATTTGAAAACATTGTTTATTTACAAATCAGGAACGTTATTAAAAGTGGGAGGGTGAGTTTTCAGGGGCGGGGGTTGTTGGGGATGTGTAAAATTGACACAAAATTGTCTGATAACCAACAAAATAAGGTCTCCGATATTAAATATTCCAAGTTTTTAGTCCCGGCCGTTAAATTTTGGCTTCTCCGTCAATGTTGTCCGGATTTGCACTTTGGAAAAACAAAAAATCAAAACTTCATCTTCCCAATAATTATTTTCCACTTATTACTTACCAGGATGAATGAGTCCCATCTTATTTCATTTGGCCAAATTTGAAGCGCAGAATTTTAAATTTTAAACTCCCTCCAAAACTGTATCGTTTCGTTATCTCGATTGTCTTCTTTTATCAACTTCGCTCTTTTTGTTAATTTTCAATAGTTGTCACTTTCTTTCTCTCTACTTTTTTCTCTCTTTCCATTTTTCTTATAGTAGCAAACTCATTTTTTTTATTTTCCCTCTGTCCCTTTCTCTCTCTCTCTGTTTCTTTCTCTCTTTCTCTCTCCATTTTTTTTCTCGCTCTCTCTCTTCTCTCTCTCTCAATCAATATTGCAATCCCATCTTTCATGATTTCACAGATTTTACAGAAGATATACATAGAACACAACCATAATAAGCAATCACTCTCTCCCATAAGTTTGCTATGGAATGAATCACTGAAATGATTCTGCATGCTTGCGTGTAGCAACGATCTGAGGTTGAAAATAGCAGGGCAGATGATCTGAATGTGAAAAATTAAGTGCAAGATGTATTCGATCATCATTATTCTCAATAATTTTGACAGACTAGTCACATAAATTGTAATTTCAATGAATAATGTCAACTGAATTTTTAATATATCATCAGCGAATGTGATTGTAGGCCTATAGCATCAATGATGAATATTTGGAAAATTGTTAAATGCATTATAGCGATATCTATATATTTGAATCTATTTTTGTCATCATTTCGTCTTCACATTACCCGTTGTTATATTATGATTTATAATGAGTGAGTTCAATGATCTGACCTTTAATTACTCACCCTTACTTTCTCTCTCTCTCTCCTTCTCTCTTTAAAGTTATTTTTTTCTCTCTTTAATGTTTCTCTCTCCCCCTCTCTCTTTCCTTCTCTCTCTCTTTTTTTTCTTTCTCTCTTCCCTTCTTTCTCTTCATCTCTCTCTTCATCTCTCTCTCTCTCTCTCTCTCTCCAATTTATAAGTACAACACAACTGATAACATTACAAAAGTTATCAATAGGATAAAATTGCACACATTTTTTGAAAAAATAATAACAAAAAAAAAACAAAAAATGTGCAGATCAGCTTACAAAAGGGAAAGTTAATTACTACATACATACATTATTTAAAAACCAATGAAAGTGGGTTGTAGCACTTGTATAGAACGCACTTAAACTTTGATGCCAGGCAATTAGGTCGAACTTTTCATCAATTTTTCCTAGTTTAAAGTTGATGCGTCAGAAGAATTTTATCAATGAATCTCAGATAATAATTTTATCATTGTGGCATAAACTAGTTTTAGTATAAAAATTTATGTTGTCACATTGTCATTCATTTATTAAATATATTAAAAAATAATTAAATGTATTGTTAAATGAATGAATAATACAGACCACACACGCAACACACACATACAACACACACACACACACACACACACAACACACACACACACACATACACACACACGCATATATACACACGCGTTCCTTTCTGAATCATGTACAATTTTATACGCAAGCCTGCATGCGTTCCTTACATATTCTGCCTGTCCTGTGATGTTCGAATGTCAAATCACCTGTTGGCTGATTAATAATTTAACGTATGAGTAATTGAAAATTTGGTAATAAAATGTTCACGTTGAACGTATATAAATGTTAAGGTGTTATACGAATTCTACCGAATTGTTGGCAATAATCAATTTAAATAAATAAATAGATTATTGCCAACAATTTGGTAGAATTCATACAGTATGATCTTATTTAAATATTCAAGAAGACGTAAATTTATATTCTACATGTCAATGTACATCGATAAAATGTATGCGTGAGTGTGTGTGTGTGTGTGTTTGTATGTGTGAGTTTGTGTGTTTGTATGTGAGAGTTTCTGTATGTGTGTGTGTATGTGTGCATTTGTTTGTCAGAGTTTGTGTATTTGTGTGTGTGTGTGTATATGTGTATTTGTTTGTCAGAGTTTGTATATTTGTATGTGTGTGTGTGTGTGTGTGTGTGTGTGTGTGTGTGTGTGTGTGTGTGTGTGCTAAAGAATACACATGTTGATGACCTAAGTAGATGAGTTCATAACGAGTGCAATATTCCCAAGCATAGGTGATGAGATGAATTTATTAATATTTGGACTTCATATGACATTTATCTACATGTAACATTTTAACGTTTCTCTACTGGGTGCTTAGTTTAAAATATGAATAAAGTTTATATCACGAAATTAAGTAGAGGTCATATTTTCATTGATACGCAATAAGATGTGCCCTTCAAAGTTCAATTAATATCTGTACGTAAATATGCAAGAATCTTATTATAGTATAGGTACGACAGAAAAAAAGTATAATAATAACCTCTAATATTGTAATATTAATAATAAAATTTATAGTAGAAATACATTCATTATATTGTTCGTATTGTATATATATATATATATATATATATATATATAGTATTATATAAGACATATATAGCATGGGTGTATCTGATTATCTAGTTATTTGTTGAAAACAGCGCTCAATATATTAGTTTATAACAATAAAACAAACACACACACACAGACACACACAAAAACACACACAGACACACACGTAGACATATACATAATCGTAAAATTGAACTTTTGATATAATAGTGATAGTAATAATAGTAAATACCTACTTGTGTTTATTAATCCCAAAAACTTTTGAACGTCACGCTCAAAGCAGGCATTCTTTTCATCATAGGCTCAAACTCATGTTCAAGTTTGAGTACATTTGAGATATATTTTTATATACGGACGATTAATTTGAGCGTGTCTGCGTGGTTAAAAATGAATTTAGTGTGTGAATTTTTTTAAAAATTTGACATGGATGTTTAATTTCATATAAATAAATAATTACGTACACTTTGAATAAGTATTTTTATTGATCTAACGATACTAATAAAAAGGTTATACGCAAAATTGTCTCACTTAATTAATTCAATTAATCAATTCTTATCAAAAGTCTACAATACTTTGTTCTTATATAAACAACATTGTGATGAATGTATTAATGTTTACAAATTCTCTAGAGAAATCGATTCGAGATCTATTAGCACGAAAGTAGCAGACTGCTTTGATTGACATTTTGACAACGAAGGTCAACAACAAAATAAAATATTAAATAATTTTTCCAACGGTTACACTGTTGACAACAGCGGTGACAACACATTTACTAAGCCATAAAACACCACCAGCAAGAGTTGAGGAAAACACTTTTACTTCTCTCCGCAAACCAACAACATTAATTTTCTAAAAAAATGAAACGTCCATTGTATAAAAAACTTCTCTACCTTGTCACCATCAACGCTGCTTTGCTGTACTCCATCCAACAGTGGCCTATAAAACTCCTGACAAGTTACTCCAACCAGAATCTCAACTTCATGAATTTCAATGATATTAACGAAAATAATTTGACGGCAATAAAATCCATCAAACGATTTGTAGTTAAGAAAATACTGATTGACACAAATGCACTGGCCTGCTCACATGTTCCTCGACCGTCCATTGAAGATGTTGAGATTACTGAGGGTAGGTGGCAAGTAGACAGGCAAGGTTATGGTTAGTGTTTAAAGTATAGGTTTGTTATTTTTGGTTCAATATCTGTTCGTTTGTTTGCTCGTTTGTGTGTTTGGTTGGTTGTTCGTTTGTCTTTCTGTTTGTTTGTTTGTTTGGCTGTTTGTTTGTTTGTTCGTTTATTTATTTGTGAGTCGATTTTTAAGATACTGTTTGTGGTTATTTAAAATTTGCAAATTATTTTAAACAAGTTATGTATTTGACAAAAATTAATAAGAAACTTGCAATGTTTTTGTGTTGAATTTATTTAAAATGCATTTTAAAACATTTCACGAACAAGGAAGTTTACTAATATAAAAATAATAAATTTTTAAACCAAATCCGAACGCTAACACAATCACGCCATCAAATAGTATGGTATAAGACGTTTTAACTTAACAATATTAACCTCACAAGGGCATGCTTTACCATTTCAGCCAACTAATTAATAATATTTCACCTCAGAATTTGATTAAACATTTAGTAATTTAAAAAAAATATTATGAAATTTTTGTTTTTCATTTCACAGAAAAACTCTACCTATACTCCTCATTTTACGACGACAGGCCTCTAGCTGGCACGCTCCCAACCATTCGAGTATTAACGATGGCCACAAACGGCAAGCGAATGGATGTGTACTGTCACGTCTGGTTTGACGATTATTCAGACGAAGCATTCGTCATCAGAGCCGACGTGCAAGAAACAGGGATGAACTCTTTTATTTATGAATATGTCGGTAGAATCGGAGAGTTCACCATTTCTTGTCAGTTACCGTTCAAGTATTTGCACATCACCGATGATCCGGTTTTAGTTCGGAAACTATATAATTCAAGTTGCGATGAGTTTTTCGATGAGGTTGATAATGAGAATGAGTTGAAAATTGTTCACACTGAGCATGAAAAAACTCTGCTGGTCTGCAACAAGCGTAACATAAATGAAAAGAAACATAAATTCATTCCGAGATATGTGTCGTTAAGTAGGGGAGTACTCTGCAAAACTCCGAAACAACCCAAACAGTCACGAGGATTTAACCATCTCGAAAAAAATTTTTTTTATCATTATCAAAAGCAGCAACACAACCCAACGTCACCCCATCCCGTTAATAATGTCACAAAAACCATCTACCTCACTACGCTTCTGCCGGTTTACTACGACTTCCACGAGGAACCGCTACACGAGTTCTCAATCTGCGTAGCGAACGGACACGACCGATACGAATCCTACCAGTTGCTTGAGTGGTTTGAGTTCTACAAACTTATGGGCGTCAAAGAATTTTATCTCTACAATACAAGTTACATCGGAGTCGAATCTCTCTTCAAGTATTACCAAAGTAAAGGAACATTGCTCATGTCTCAGATACCGCATCCGTTAGGTCTCGAGCCGAGGGATGAGAAAAAGATAGAAAAAATCCGAAACTTGCGAACTATCTCTTTGAACGACTGCATGATGCGCAACATGTACCGGTCCAAGTACTTAGTAGTTGTTGATCACGACGAGTTCATCGTCCCTCGCGGTGACGTCACTAACTTCCACGACCTCCTCTTGAGAGCGGAAAAAAGAGCAAAGGAACGGGACAGGCCGGTAATGTCTTACGGATTTTTAAACACGTACTTCTTCCTGTCGTTTAAGCCGGATAAATACAAATCAAATAATTTCCGAACATTTCGATTTTTATACCGAACCATATCATTGCCGCCATATACAGCCTCAAAGTCAATATTAAGTCCACTGTATTGCTTCAATCTTATGAACCATTATTGCTACACGAGGCTGCCTTTATACAATGGGTCTATTTCAATTTTCGTCTCAGAAGACCTGGCCCTCAGTCAACATTATAGATTCTGTGGGAAGTTTTATCTATTTGAGACTTGTACTCAATTGCATAATACAAAAATGAGAGACGAGACCATGTTGAAGTTTGAGAAAGTCATTAGAGAAAATGTTTACAAAGTTGCTGCAATGCTTGAATGATTGAAAGTTATTGAAATAATCTACAAAGTTGAACATTCTTGTTTATCTAATTTGATATTTTTGCGTGTGAATAACATTTTGTGATAATAACATTTGCGTGTAAATAACATTTTGTATAAATTTATTTATTTTGTCATAGCCCGTGTTTCTTCTGTTTCTACTATGTTTAAACCGTTAATAATGATGAAAATTAAAATAAAACATACTAAATATTATGATTGGCTGTAAAAATCTAGCCAAAACAAATAAAATTTAATTTAATCAAACAAATAAAATTAGGTTTAGTGATTTCAAATTTTTAAATATATTGTTTGGTGTTAGAACAACTCAAAATGTATTAAAACATAAATTAGGCCACTGAATTTAATAAGTTTAAAGCGACTGGTTATAATTTTTTAATTATCGCGATACGATTACTCATGTGATGTCATAGATTGAATAAAAAATTGATTGATCACAATTTTTATTGAAAAAAAATCATTACGAACTAAGAATTCTACAATGCAAGCCACAAACACCCTGTTTTTAATCGAAAATTTGATAAATCAGTCAAGTTCATCGGTTGCCTAAAAACAAATAACATTACAAAAGCATCCATCAAAATTATAAATTATGCAGTTTTATAGAGTGTTTAATAGAATTCAAATGTGAAATCTGATGAGAAAATTGAAATGTGCAGGTTTTAGAACGAAATATCAACATTCTATGAGATGCATTAAAATCGTTCTTTGTAAAATGTTTAAAATTGTTTTATATAGTGTATTAAATGAATTAAGAATAAATTGTTTAAAATAAGTTTTGATCTAATGTTTTTTAATATAAATTTAGAATTTTACCTTTAAACGTGTTTATCAAAATTAGTTATTGGTGTCATAATTTTAAAATCTCTTCAAAGATTCCCAACGTAATGGTAGGTAGCATTCCAGAACGTCCAAGTCCGGCTGGAGACCAAATTCACAAGTGGGAATCCATTCCTGTGGCTGTTCAGTTGACAGATCTTCAGCTGGTAGTTGAAATTGAATGAGTCACATCCAAATTCCCCAAGCTGAATGCACTGACCGACACAAAAAGCCGGCTTGACAGCTGAAAATTCCATGAATGTGTTATTTAACAATTTCAGGCTTTTTGCCAGAGTCCATATTCTTTCTGTTAAGAAATGATAATTTATATAATTATTGACATAAATGAAAATAAACTCTTCCTTCCTAGCATAAGCGTTTATTAAAATTTTTAAATAGACAAAGCGCAATCAAGACATTTAATCTGTTGATAATTCATTAAAAATTGTTAACGTTTATGAGGCAGAACCATTTCTTCCTGTGGCTCATAAGCCTCCAACTCACAAACAGCAAAATATCCATTGCCAGCTCCAATGGCCTGTTGAAGAATGACGTAACGATAGGCTGGGAGGTTGGCGTTGCATTGGAGGGTGACCCTGGAAGCGATAGGAACATTGCCTGGGTATCTGTTACACAAGGGGTATCTGCCTCTTACTGGAATGGCATCAAGTGCACTAATATCGGTCAAACCGATGATGAAATTGGACGTGCGCGATGAAACTGTGGGCGGTATAAGGAGTGTTGTAAGGGGTGGTATTAATGGTGTTATTATTTGTTTCAAATGAATTTTAACTAATAATATAAAAGTTTGATGCGGAGAAATTATTTAGCATTGAATATGTTGTTATTTATAAAATTAGTTAACGTTTTTACAAGTTAATCAAAGGATCAATATTTATTGTAGTAAAAGAGGAAAATTGTTACATGATCTATAATTTTGCAACTTATTAGACAAACTTCATTGAATATAAATGAGGGGGAAAATAAAATTATTTGTTTAAGAAAATGTTTTTTTGTCTCTTAAGAAACATCGTCCGAACGAGAATGGCACGTACTCAAAATCAACTGCCTGAGTTGCAATAATTTCAGCAAACGTGAATTTTAAATTTTATTTTATTATCTTTTCTAAATTTTATTTATTTTATTATTTTATATTTCAATTTAAAAATTTAACCTGAAGCAGTAAAGGTATCCCTACTGATAAGTGCAACGTAATCGATGTAGCGGTCATCCTGCATGTCTACTTGCATCCAGTTCTGCGCGAAACCTTGCTCATTGGAGTGCGCGCAGTGGCCGTGGTAAATGTTGGGATCTCTGTTCCCATCAACAAGGTAATCAGCCTTCAGAGAGTAATTTGATTTCGTGATGAGGTTGTATCCGAAGTAAGAAGAACTCATTGTAGCATTTTTGAAGAGCAGTAGGTTTGTCCTTTTGGCTAAAACTAGATGAAATAGTTTCGAAATTTTGACAGAATATTTGTTACTAACACTCAAATAAGATTGTTATAAACTATTACAAACTGAAAAATTTTTTAAATTTAAAAAAGTAGCAATATGAATTATATTGTCAATTGACCTTCGGCATAGTGGCCTTCAACGACCGCCTCACAGATTGTCATGTTGACGTCAGATGAGTTGCTCTGGTCAATGCTGATGTACCTAGTCGCATGTTCTGTAGCATTCGGACACTGGAATGTAACGCTGACGCTGGTCACTTGACTGGTCAGATTGCTGCATGAGACGTTCGTTTTGTAATAGGATTCCTTCAAATTGACCATCAGAACATCTGATTACATGAAAGGTTAACACTGTCAATAACGATTCAACATAACCTGAACTCAAAATTTTTAATGAACAGAGTCAGTAGTGAATAAGGCAAGAACTAAAATGCAAGAACTAAATTAGACCCAACTCCTTTCAAGTTTTCCAAGAACACGAACGGTATCCACCCTGTAGAGCCATATGAGGTCGATTTGAATCCATTGGTAGCCCGAAGTTTGGGAAACATAACAGAATGGAAAACTACTGACACCATCAACCACTAACGAACCATTGTATGAATCTGTTGACGGGCTTCCATTTACCATCTTCCAAAATGCCACGTTCTCTTGACCTGCGGTTAAATGACTGCATTTGTAATGTAACAAAATTGTTAATAATAATGTTATAAACATCACGACAGCAGAACTCCGAAAAAAATTTGCCTGCAAAAAGATAGGACAAATTATATTTTGACACATGCAAACATGATTACATATATTTATAAATCTAATAGATTCATGCATGTATAAATATAACTGTATAAATTTTGATACTTGACAATGATCTCAACTTTTCGTATATTCAATCATTTAACTTTCTTTTTTTGCTTTGCAAACGTCAATCAGAAACTTCCACAATACTGAGTGCCAAATTATTTCCAGGCATGTCATAATAGAATGACAAATGCTGTTTATTGTCAACAAGATGCACATGAACAATAGAGTAATTTGCAACAAAATGGAATTTTTTTTATAAAAATCGACTTAAGTGTAGTAGAATGTTAAATGGATTTATTATTAATGTTATATTAATGTTAGCATTGTTGTTGTTGATATTATTGATTAAAAATTTTTACTTGTTGTAAGTAGTGAAATGTTTTGCTAGGAATTAATTTCTCCAAATATAATTAGTAAGCATGCTTTTGCAGAAATACAAAAATTACATTTTTATTTTTTTTTGTTATTCTGTAATTTTCCACAAATGATTTTTTTTAAAAACTTTCTAATATCTGTTTCTCCCAAGTTTAATATCATTTCATGTTAAATTAACTGGTAAAATTAACTTTAAAAAACTTAAATCACAACATGATACCTAACGGTGACGTTTAGACATTTTAAAACTTGGCTATTAATTTTCAGATACAAATTTTTAGACACGCAGGCAAAAATTTCTCACAGTGAAAATTTTGTAGTGTCTGTGAAAAAACTATCATGCGGATTGTTATGTTTCTTACATATGCAACAGAGTTTTAGTCATCTTCTAAACTAGGAGTAATAAGAAATAATGGTTGAATCAAAAAATTTGGCCTTTTATTAACCAATACAGTTTTCGACCTAGCATCATTGGATCAGAAATTTATCTTGAATTGAGCAGTTTATGTTTAGAACTAAGGTTTTATGAAAGAAAATCCAGGTACCTAGCTACTGTCGGTTAAAAAAATTTGTAACTTTTCTCGCACTGAATAACTTGTAGTGGTATTTCAACATCAAGCAACTTCATTTGTGAAAATTTTCAAATTATAAAACCTTGCTTATGATTGTATGATATTAAAAGACAATTTTTGGCAAAATACATCTTCCATTGTTAAAACTTCAACCCTTTCTACGATTAAAAAGCATTTAATACAGATATAAAAATATACACTACTCTTAAAATTAATCTACCAATGTGAAAATTTCCAAAAAATTAAAACTGGACACACACGGTTGAAACTATGCAAATATCAATCCATAGAAACTGTGCCGCCATCGTTCACAAGGACTAACAAACACACTAACGTCTGTAGATTTTGTTTTGAAATGTCGGCTCACAAGCAAACACTTGTAAAAAATTAAAATCCCAAAATACACAAACACACACACTCCCTTTCACTAAGACACGCGCACACACACATGCTATGCATCACGTACATATTCAGAGATGTATGCATTTCTTTCTGAAAATTTTTCTGGTAACTGAATGGAAAGCAAACCGTCAAACTAACCCACTGTTTACACAATTCTTTGGAGAATTTGAAATACAAGCAAATACCATGGTTACTAGTAATCATGCGAATCCACACGTACACGGACATACACATACACACAAACATACACAAATACACATACACACAAATATATATATATGTATATATATATATATATATATATATATATAAAATCCTGAAAACGCACTTTATTTGTTAATAATTAGTTTAAATGTAATGTGAGTGATATGGAACAAACATTTACCTAAATTTAATTAATATAGTAATTTATTAAAATTTAATAAAACCATTTTACTTTTTTACATTCTAACCTGGAAATGGTCAACATCAAATTACTGACCAGTCTGACGTTCTTAGTAGTGGTGTCTGACGGACGAACTGCAAAATTTTCTAAGGATGTCGGTTTTTGTGACTCGGCTGATGAAGCATTTACTACCACAAATAGTAGTTTCAGTGGTAGTAGTGGTAGTCGTAGAAGTGGTAACTGTAGTAGCGGTAGTAGCGATAGTAGCAGTAAGTTGAAAGCTTTAAATTACAAATTAGAGCGTGCTGATTTGAGTAACGAAATTCCGGCCGGTAAGATTTATTTGTTCTTGTTTATCTATGAATTTTTGCACAACTGTTTTTATTTTTTCAAATTTATTTTAAGACGAGGAAAGATTCTTTGCTGTTAAAATGTTAATTAATTGTCTAATTAAAACGAATTGATATATTTAAAAAAGAAATAGTTTTATACCATCAATTTAATTTTAATAAAAACAAAGTATTTAGAAACTCGGCAAGCGAAAAAATTCCACAAATTCACCGCAATACTTACAGCGTCTGTGTTTATAGATAGAGACTAATAATTTCTAATAAGGATTCTTTTTTTTGAAGATTTTAACGGCACTGCAGCTCCAGAGATGGTGCTATAATTAATAACGATTCTATTAAATAATGTTACTCAAATACTAATGAAAAAATTTTCATTTCTAGTCGTCAGGTGTTCCTGGATTTGCACAAACTTTAATTACTCATCACTGTCGTCATCGTCATCCTTGACATCATCACTGTTTCCCTCTGCGTTGTTTCCACCGGTGCTATCATTACTAACATCGCTACTGTCATCTTCATCTTCTTCCTCCTCATCTTCGTCCTCATCATCGTCCTGTTCCTCATTCAAGTACGTTGAAAAGTCAAACGAATGCGTGTTTTATTTTGGACAGGATTATCAAAATCTGAAGAACGCCAAAAATGAATCGTCGTCATCATCAACATTTCCACCATTATCATTATCTTCTTTTACATCACCTTCCCCATCGTCATCATCATCGTCGTCGTCATCATCATCTTCATGCTGCTCATACTTCGAGTTGATCCTGGAAAATTCAAATAATTACAACAATGTTGCTACTGACCGAAGTGAAGGAAACCCCATCCTTGCAATTGCAACTGTTACTAGTATTAATAAAACAACAACAACAACAACTACTACTACTACTACTACTACTACTACTACTACTACTACTACTACTACTACTACTACTACTACTATTACTAAAAATTTTTCAACTGTTTCCACTACAATTTTAACCCCTTCCACAACTACTATTGCAACTATTTTAACGAAAAAAATTTTATTCACAACTACTCTCAAAACTACATCACTGGCAATGCCGATAACAATAGCTGATTCAACCAAGTCTATATTCGGAACAAGCCCTCCATATGGTGTAGTTGAAAAAGTTACTCCAACCAAAAAATTAACCGTCACATCGTCTGGTTCATCATCGTCAACTGATAGAAATAAAATCAAAAAGGATGAAGACGATGATGAGGAAGACGACGATGATGACGATTTGCCTAAGAACCTTGATGAAAATTTACGTAAATTCTGTGAGATGTGTGTTAATGAAAGAGAAAGTTGCGATCCAGTACCGCTAGTTGTGAAGAATCTAAGCCAGATGAATGAGTGCATCGTATGTAAACCAAGAAAATCAAAAAAACCTAAATCATATTGTAAATGTAAATTTGTGCAGAATAGCCAAGGCAAATCATCAAAAGACAGTCGTAATAAGCTAAAAAAAATTGACAAGTTTAAGTGCGTTCAATAATTAACTATGGTAGTTGTTTGTTATCAGTTATGGTTGTGATATCAACATTGACCTTTTTATCCCCACCATCATCGTCTTGATAGCTATCATAGTCTTCATCTTATATTGTTAGCATATCCATCGTCGCTTTCGTCATCGTTCTAATCATCCTCATCATAGTCATCTTCAAAGTCAACTACTATAGATATTTTCATATTTATCATTGTTGTCACGCACAATATTAATCCTGTGTACTTAATTTTCTGTCCTGTATTTTGGTGAAGATGAATTAAATTTAAACGAACTCGATTGATCAAGCGATCGATTAAATTTATTGTATATATGCACCGCAGAATGACTAATCATCTTTTCATAAATAACTCCTTAACGTTTGCCGTTTATTAACAATAAAATTTTACTCTTGAATTCGAAATTTAATGAACTTGTAATGTTTGAATTAAAATATGCCAGAAAGTATGTTTATTAATAACATAGAATTGAACTGAGCTCTAGATTTATTGAAGTATGAATCCAATGATTGGACATTAGATGGAGTCTGTAGAGTTGTGCTTGCTTAGGTGCCCAAAAGTTCATCAATGTGTGATTGTGTGAATTTATTTTTCACTTTAATGTCTCCAAAATTGGTAAATGGAATTGGGAAAAATTGCACTCGAAAATTGATCCATAAACAACAGAATTAATTATTAATTTAGGTTTACCTGATCGCCATTTAGCAAGAACAAATTTTTTTATTTAAATGTAACACAAAACACATAAAACACATAAAACATTTTAACATTTCAACACGATGCTTATCTTTAAAAATTAATTAAAATATTTGCGCGCAAGTGCTTTTTTGTTAGAGAATCACCAATCCAAATGTTGTCAAACCGCGGTTTGATGGTCAGTTTTTCCAGTAAACTCAGAGACCTACCTTTCAATGAACGATAGGCGGTTAGCACGCATCGAACAAATAGTGGCAAACATTGTATCCGTCACAATGAAGGTTGTACCTATTAAACCTTCAGGTACATTCAATGATATGCTGACCAAACTCGTATCAGGCAAACAAAACACTAATGAAAGAATAAAAACTGATGAGTGTAAAACTAGAGTACATGTGCACTAGCATGTACACTGAAATACACAGACATATTTAAACATAGTTTATAAATCATTTGTTTTGAAATATACGGTTTGATTGACAAACCGCGCAAATTAAAATGTCAAGAACGCTATGCTAAATTGCCGATGTTTTGCTGAAAGCAGCAATTAAATCGTCCGCTTTGTGCATATTTAAATGCTCCGTTCACGATTCAAAATGTTCCACAGTGAAATGACGTTGAATGGTATATACTACATTTAGAAAAAATCGTTTTAAACTGTTTTTTTAAATTAATTTTTCATATTAAACACCAGGTATTTCAGTGTCCAGTCATATTCCTGGAGAAGATTTTTTCAAAATATGAAGTTTTCGGATTCCAATTTTTCGGTCAAGATGACCAGTCTGAATCTGATCACGTTTGTAACGTGCATTTCATACAGCGTTTCAGAAAAATTCAAACCAATATTCAACTCGTATGGTCTGAGAGGATGTGTGGTAGATGCTGCAGATGAGCGACTTGTTTACTCTTACGATTCCCTCATCAAATGTGTCGCCATGTGTTCAGCGATGGATGGTTGTGTCGGAAGCAACTACCATCGCGACACGAAAACTTGTCAGCTGTTCTACGATAGGACTGATGTTACAATCAAACACGATTCTACGAACATGTGTGCATTTTTTGAGGTGAGTTACTCAACTAATTCGCTAATATTATAAAAAGTAATTCGTTTTTAGAATTTTTAATTTAGGAAAATAAACTTAAAAATATTGAATGAGTGTAACTTTTTTGTCAATAAATTTCACATTTTTGGTACATCAGAAGAAGACCAGTCAGATTATTCTACACAAAGGTCACAAGCCAATTTACTTTATTAATAATGTATCAGTTATTTTAAGTATTTGTCACTTTAAATATATATTTTCCCAAGATTTTTCTTATTTTTATAAATTTATTTTATAAAGTTTTAAACAAATAAATTAAATCTTTCTTAACTTAATCCATAAATTCTAAATTAAAATTAACGAATGATTCTGTCACAGAACTGCTTTCAAGATACATCGGTTGTTTTGTAGACAAGATGAATACGGATCCCAGAGATCTAACGTATTATGCATTATACACCAACACCATGACGATATCATTTTGTAGCCATGTCTGCTTTGGTTTCAATTACTCCTTCTTTGGACTCCAGGTAAATATTTTTACCGACAAAATTTCCGACTAATTTTTATAAATAAAAATTTTTTGAAATCTGAATATCGGTCATCGAACTTATTACAGAGTTACAGAGAATGTTATTGCTCGCATTCGTACGGAAGATATGGAGTAAGTGATAAATGTAACTTTAATTGCGATGGCGACCAAAGTGAAATTTGTGGTGGACCTCTTGCGAATAGCGTTTACACTGGTATTAAATTTAATTCTTCAACTTGTGTTCTCTATTGCACAACTCCGACAAAAGCTTACATGACATTCTAACTAATCTTTTAATTGAACACGAAACGACTTACATAGACATTATGTATGCACTCGCAAAGCACCACATCATAAGCGCATGAAGTATGATAGTCTTTGAGTTTCGGACAATCTGTATTCGAACCAAGCCATTGTAACATTTGGATTTTAGAATTAATCATCTATAAAACTTTGAACGTTTCATCCTACAGTTTGTGATAGAGGAATGTATGGGCTGAATTGTAACATCAAATGCCCACCTGGTCCACAATGTTTGTGTAATCGTTTGAACGGCACATTGATTTGAATTTCAAACAAACAATAATCTGAATTATTTTGACAAAAACAAAAAATTTTCTAATTTTTTTTTTAACAATTTAATTTCCGTCTATCCAGCTTCAATTAAAAAAGGTCGGATTAAAACGGTAGTATACTTTAAGCTATTGTAGCCTACAGGCTTTCAAGCGTTAAGTCTCGTCCTAATGACCTTTTCTCTATTTTATTTTTTGTTAATTCAATAGTGGCTTGAAAATGCTATGCAATTTTATGATTAAGTATTTTTGCTTAGAAACTTTTCAAATGAATTACATCTAACAATGAACTTGTTTTACTTTCCTACAATATTCGAATAAAATTTTATAGAAGAGTGTCAATGTTTTCATAAAAATCGTTAAAGAAATTTTACACTGAAAACTTCCGTTTCAATTTTTAAAACTTCACTTTATATATAAAAACCTGAGAAATTTTACTCAAGTTAGTTAATGATAAACATTTACAACCAATTCTTTTTCATAAACGTATTTTTTTAAATGTCATTATTGAAATATTGGTTAAGTGGATAAGCTACCCTTGGTTTTATATCTGAATTGTTATTAAAAAATGAAATAAATGGCAACCGAGAATACGATACATCTATCATCACAATGATACATAGGCTTTTTGGCTGATGGCAGTGTTAAGATACTACCATCTAACACGCAAAGTGTATCTCCAAATTTTTCGTAATATTAGGTATAAAGAATTTTCACAGATGGCATAGATCAAGCAAAATTTCAATCATTTTGCCATTTTAAGCATTAAGCGTTCACACTATATATTTTTATACAACATGTTCATTTTTTTCGTTATATAGTTTGCCTTTTCGCTTTTCAATACCTTTCTGAGGAGCGTATTTTGTATAAAAATAAAATTTGTAACTCGCAGTCAAAATTTGTTGGCAATATTAGTTAACAAGTTTTTCCAAATTTAGTTTATTACTTTTATGATTTACAATGTTCATTCAAAAAGCTAAAACTGTTCTTACCATATTATTTTTGTTGATCGTCATCAATGGAATGAGTGAGGAACAGTCAATGAAATCAAACAAATTCGCATCTGCCTACAGTTACTTGATCACGAAAAATCAAACCACTTCAGTCTGCTTCGATGAAAATATGGTTAACATCACTTTGAAAACTTCCGCGGAAAAACTGTCGAAATGTTTTATTAAATGCTTGGTAACTATTTTTTTTCTTGCTTCATAACAAAATAAAGTTTTGGTAAATGGAAATTTTGTTTGTCTTTACCCTTTAACTGTTAAATAAATTGAAGAACCTATTCGTTCTAAATTTCAAGTAAGACTGGAATAAGTTTTTCAGCTGAAAATGTTTTTTAATTAACTGATTCGTTTATTTTAATGCCTGACATGTATTTATCATAGAAAATTATAAATTATTTTTTGATCTGTTTCAACATTTTATGAAAATTTGATTCAATCCATTCCTTTCAGTCAAATAATGTGTGTACTTTATACAAATCATCATATTCATGCATTTCTGCATTATCCGGTTACTTTTTATCGATTAGATTTTGAACTGATTAATTCTTTTTTTTCATTTCCATTTGAAGAAGCTGACTAACAACAAACTGAGAGGAGTCAACTACGTGAAATTGGATGGATCGTGCTCGTGTTTCATCAGATCAAACGTCCGATACAACGTTACCATCAACTCGTATGCCTCTGGACGCAAATGCTACGTTCAAAGTCACGGTCAAAATTTTAATTTTTATTCATCATAATTAACTTTTAATCATAAAAGATTGTATTATTATTATTAATTAGTTAAATTGAAGATAGTTTAATGTTAATTTGTTCATTTAGTTTGTACTGAATATTAAAGCTTATACATATCGATTTAACAAAAACATGATTAAAAAAATGTTAAAAAAAGGAAAATCATTAAAAATAGAAAAAAAGATAACAATGTCGATACTTTAGCGCTCAAGAAGTAGCGTCAGTGGGGATTTTCATGAGTTTCCGATAAAAGCAGCGTATGCATGCAAGCAGAAACGAAGCGGTGGGGACGCATTTGTACGGCACGAGAAGCAAAATATGATAATATCTCTCTCTCAACGGACTTTGACAAAATAAAGGACAAAAAAAAAAACAAAATATTCATAGTGCATGTTGAAAAACCTAATGAAATAAAAACATTAAAATGAAACCAACTTAATTCCTTCAAATTCCAACTCAATTCCCAACTCCATTCTATCCCAATACGAACAGACTGCCCGATGATATTTGACTATGTCATAGAGTATCACAAGTGCTACAAAATGCAGTACAAGATATTGAACTGGTACAATGGCAGATCTTTGTGCAACAACGTATCAAACTCCCATCCTATTACTTTCGACAATGATGTTGAAAATGATGTCTCATTGCAATATGTCAAATTCGTTACACCTAGTTAGTTATAAATTGTTTATTACGAACAAAAAAATAAATTTGTTACATAATGGGGCATTTCAAAAGAGTAAATGTTAACTAAATTTTAACTTAATCTTAAGTTCGCTTTAGGATCAGATAAAATATTTCAAAGCCTATTTCTAAATTTCAAAATTTTTGACTAAAAAATATATTTAAATTTTTGATAAGTTTTTGCAAATATTCACAAACTTACAATGTTCTTCAGATCTTTAGCGATCGTTAGGTCGTTTTGTAGTAACGTATAATGACCAGTAAATCAACCACAGATTATCAAGTTTGTCCCGGTTCAATATTAAGCACGTACTACACCTTCTACACAAGTGGCATTCGAACGTACTTCAACGGTACCAGAACACCATTTCTCTGGTCTCCATACCCTGGTTAAAAAGTTTTTCTTCCAGTTAGATTATGTTTCAATTGTTTTGGCAGGCCATTGTGATATATGATGCATTGGATGAAATAAACGTTGAATGGTCTTTAAAAACGTCATGCATTATATATAATGTTAATGAATTCATTTAAACGTTGTTTCTGTTGATGAAATCATATTTTACTTGCTACGAAAATATTTCATTTGTTTAATAAACTTTAAATGCAGCGTTCTTCAACCAGCAGATAGCATATCTGAAATTGTATGCTGTTATAAATATTTTTGAATTAAAGATCGCAATTAAATCTTCATATATATTCAGTTTGTTTTTATACTAAATAACAAATGTGAACTGCTGCGTATAATAGTTAATTAGTGAATGGTATTTGCTAATGCAAACGTGAATATAGGTAAATGTATGAGCTACAGCCAACTTAACCTCAACCAACAACACAGCAAACTCATGAACTCTTCAAAACTACAAACCGATGACCAAACAATTTACATAACCAGGAGTTTACAAGACTATGCAGGCTTCAAATGCCTGGCACGTCGGAGAGCCAAACTCACTAGCCAATGGTATTGAAAACTGCGTGCAACATTTTGTAACCGGTTACCCTGGCTGGGACGACCAGCCCTGTTCTTCCCCGATCTGTATGCTCTGTGAATATGATTTGACAGATTGATGTGAGTTTTTTAATGGTCAAAACTTTTTACACAAAAAATAAAGAGGTGAAAAAGTTTGAGAAGATATTTATTTAGCATTCTAAATACTCACTTGTAATCATTTTTCTTATCATTTTCTTTATTGTCATTTTTAAAACTTGATATTTGATCCTATTAATTCAAATTTTTTGTAAATTTCCATTTTTCTTACTCCTTTTAGGTTCTTTCTAACTCGTTAAACATTGTTATCGTACTGCAAACTAACTCTATTGTTATCCATATATTTTTTGACACATTTCTAATTTCAGTTTTTCTTACACATTTGGCAACTCCAGATAAATTTGTAATCATGCATTCTAAACATGTAACAAATGCGTCTTATCTCTACCGTTTTCAATTAGTTTTTTTCGGTTCACCTCTATGGTTAATTTATTTTTCTGCATTTTAGTTTTGACTGACTGGTTTTCGAAAATGTTTTGTAACACTTTAATTTGTATACAAATAGTTTCTAACCCTTTAATGTTGTGTAGTCTTAACTAGCTACTTTAACTAGCCTTTTCCTAAATAAACATTTTTTAATCGTTTCAGTATGCGAGTAATCTGAAGAATAACTCAACTGATCAATAAACGAGGTAATTTTACAGGGTGAAACATGTTATTTAGCGTGCATACGTTTTTTTTAACTTTTAACATTTTATTGATAATATATTTTGACTTGTTTTTCAATAAAAAATTTTCTTGTATATCTGCAGAAATAAATTCATTGTCAATTTTAATTATTTTTGTGAAATTATTAAATTGTTCATCTAGTCGTTTATTCTTGTAAGAATTATATCAATAGCATTAGTTTGTTTAGTTTAGCTGATATTTATACAATTTTACATTAGTTAGTTTGTTTGTATTAACTAGTTATGTATTAACTAATATTAACGCATTTTAGTCAACGATTTCTATTTCTAGTGAGATAATTTTTCTAAATTTATTTGTAACTGTTTTATAAACGTACTATTATGGCGAAATGATAAAAAAATGTGCTTGGAAGAACAGATGTACATTGATAACTTAACATAACGTAACGTAACACAACATAACATAACATAAACATAACAGGGTTTAAAGTGGCTCAGTAGATTAGAGTCTTTGTGAGAACCCAAGCGAGATAAGTGTCCTGATATCCTAACTTTCCTAGCTTGATCTCGAAACAGTTGATTGATTCCGCAGAGACCGTATCATCTCTCAGATCATTCCAGGTGTTTATCACACCACTGCTGAAGAATCTTTATTTGACGGCACTTTTTGTTTTTTTTTTTTGGAGAGCTTATATCTGTAGCCTCGTAATCCTATTCTATTTTCCAGTTGAAAAAATCTGGTAAACGGTGTTTCTTCTTTCTTGGTAGTCATATTGTATGCCTGTATCAAATTTCCTCTGCATCTTTTTGTTTCCAGTGCTGTCAATACACATTCTTTCATTCTATCTTTGAATTCAAGATATTTAAGTTCTCCGACCATCTTTTTTGCTTTCCGCTGTACTTTCTCTAAAATGTTCTTGTCCATTTGCAGATCTGGAATCTGGACTCCAAACATTCTCAATACTGACCTTTGCAACACCACTTCGTGTCTTCAGCAACCTTCGATATTGTCGATATTATGCCAATTTCAATGTTGTTGATATATATATATATATATATATATATATATATATATATACATATATATATATATATATATATATACAGAAAAGATAGTAGAGACCCTAACACCGTATCTTATGAAACTCCACTTGTGACGTTAACCCAAGTTGAGTTTTTGTCTTTGATCCGTACCTGTTGTCTTCTGTTCTATTGGTAATCCATTGAAGAAGACTTCTAGATATCCCACATGCATGTAGCTTCTTGGTAAGTCGCAAAATCCAAATAGATTATATCTACTGGGTTCTCACTGTGTAAGTTTGAATACACTTCCTCAAAAAATCTTGAAGATATGACAGATAGGATCGTCTTTTCATGGATCCGTCCTGTTTTTAATTATTTAACTGATAGATAAACTGTGCCATCTATTAGTCTAGGCTAAAATGAGTTGGATTTTAAATCAAATTTTGACATTCACAATAAAACATTGAATTTAAAAACATTTTACGAAATATGTTATAAAAATATTTCTATCTAAAAATTGAAATGCTGAAAAATTATTCCTTTCAATGTTTCACATATTGCAATAAAAGATATTTTTGTAAAATATTACACTCTTTTTCATTAGTCTCATCACTTAAATTAATAATCTGTTCTAAGTGAATTAAAAATTTTTCAATATTTTTTTCAATAAAATTCAAATCTTTCAGAATTGTTTCGATTGAATCATATTCACCAGATGTTTGCGTCGGTTTCGCATATGAAACTATCAGTTGTTGTGCACACCATGTCGTTTAGCATTCCTTTCAAAATTTGACAATTAAGTTGACAATTCAAACACTTTAATAGGTTGTGTATAATTTAAAAAACAAATAACTAAAATAAGAAACTCAAAAAATTTAATTATTTCCTAACTTAATAATAATTCCAACATTTGAATGTATACATTTCATCATTTAATTCAACGGACCACCAGACATTTACTAAGGGGAAGGGATAGCAGTGATCGAACAAATAATATTCAATGCTAACAGATGCTGCAGACAACAAAAGGACTTTAGGTGTAGAACCCCCCAGCTATAAAAATTTTAGCTAAATTTAAACTTAAATTAAACAAAAATTTTATGCAAATTTGGGTTGGAAACTGTTTCAAGCTATACATTTTTGCTGATTTTTAATCAAAAAACTGGTCCTAAAAATAAAGGCTACAAAAGTCGTGTAAACAAAAATGGTTTTTTAAACTAAGCTCTTTTGTCATACTGAATGTCATACTGTGACACTTGAATGTTTGACAATGGCATAAGTAATTTTAATACATTTCCTTAATTTTTTAAACAAAATTTTCCAACCATTTTCCAATAGTTCAATGCAATTTTCTGCATTATCTCCACTGTAATAAGTTGGCTCGCCATTGTTCCACGGCATGGTAGCGCCGAATTTTTCTGTGACATTGTTAGCTTTCAAAAGGGTTTAGTGTTAAGTGAAAGAATATTCAAATAAATATTCAGAATTATCTGCCATATCTTCCTGGGAATATAAAATATTTTCTCAATTGTTTGTAAAATAAGATTTTGAGACATTTGATTGAAATAAAAGTGTGTCTAGAAAACCAAACAAACCATAGCGCCAATACGCAATGTTGTCGTTAAAGCGATAGCCACCCGTCCAAACGCATTTTCTGAGAGCGGAACAATTTGAATATCCTTGAAGGGATATAACTTTTTGTAAATATAAAAGTTTACTTCTAATAGTATTTAAAAAAACAATTTCATTAGCCTTATGTTAATTTATGCATTCAAAAAATGTTTTCTATTCAGAAACAGAAATTCATTTTTTAAACCAATTTTAATTTTTCGGCAAAGTTCGTTGAAAAAATTTGCAACACTCTTTCCTTTCTGAACTGTTTTAACGAAGACAAGATGATAACTTGGTCCCTGTGAAGTGCAGTATTGACTGTGTGCAACATCCCAACTAACCGAACCAACTTCAGTGAACCATCTTATACACACGCTCTCTTCAGGCAAGAAGGTGTAGTCAAATGGACAAAGGTCTAAGAAGTGTGGGAGAATTTTTATAATCAATCGCAAATATAACATCGGTTTAGTTTTATCAATTAAAAGCTCATTTATAATGCATGAAAATGCTAATAAACAAAAAATATAAATTTTCAAATTAAAAAAGGTCTTAAAAATATTAGTATTTCTATTTTTCAATTAAATCAAGCTACTTTTCTTTTCGAATCCTTGGCAATCATCGGCAAAGTTGAGCAGAAGTGTTTCATAGGTCGCGTTCCAAAATTGAAAAAGTTCACATCTTTCAGCATTGGCAAAGTAATTTCCTCTCAAACAACTGAACTCTGCATTAGCGAAACAGTGGAGAATGCACTGCAACTTGCTGGAGACGTTGAAGACCATGGATGGTCGCTGGTTTCGTAAACAACTGACGATGAAATAATCGTTGCTCGTGCGCTGCCTGTAACTTGTGAACCACCGTGGAGTTGTAATATTTGCTATTAAATTAACTTTCCATGTGCTAACCAACAAAATAATTGCTGTTTCAATAAATTTGGATAAGTAAATCAGCTCCATTATAATTCTACCGTTTAAATGTCACATCAAATGTTTTAATTTTATTTGTTGAGGCTATTCACGAGCAAGAATCTTATAAAATGCACATCATGAATTTATAACTGTATGTTAGCAGTCTGTTCAGCTCTAATAAAATACACAAAATAAAACATGCAATTTTGGTAAAAAATATTTTTTCTTTCTCGTAGTACTAAAATAGCGTGAATATATCATGCGCTTTCTCTTGTTTCCACATTGCACCGTGCAAAGAAGCAAACAATACAAACATGCATCCGAATCATCACGGTAGAACTAACAACGATGCACCTAAATCTAGAAAAGTCTTTTGTGGAATATTTCATCTTACTCTGTAAAAATTTAGAAAAATAATTATTTTTGCTCCTTATAGATTATGTTACATATTCGCTTGCGAAATACAAGACAAAATAGCAAGCATGTTTAAGAACCAGACTGGTGAATCTAATGATGCACCTTCTTGCGTCTAGTTATTTCTTTTATTGCATATTTCATTTAAAAATTATGAAGAAAAGTTGATCCATATAGATTATGTTATACGTTCGGTCTCAAAGGTGTGTGTAGACAGTTCCATGTTGTATTATTAAAACAAGTGTTTAAGTATGAAAAATTTGATCAATACAAAGTTTTTTACAGTGGTTTCTTAACGGTAAATGTTTGAATCAACTGAACTACATTTTTTGTTGAAAAGTTTGATTAAATGTTTAAAGAAATTATAAATCTGTGTTTTCCATAGCAGCTCATCTTAAGCACAACTGGCGACATATCATTAGAATACCTATATTCTATGTTATATATACTTAAAATTGAATTTGCAATGATTTTCACTTTGAGAATATAAAACTGGTTTATCTAGAATAAATTGACAAAAAATTTTAATTTCGTATTACATTTTATTCTCGTAAGAAAAAAATTAATTCCTGTGCTACGCTGTTTTGATATGTTAAATGCAAAAAATCAATAAACGTACATTAATTTTAATGGAACGTTTCAGAAAAAATTTTAAATGTTTTAATAATTTCAAGAGGTTTTCGAATCAATATACCAGGAACTTTGAAGGAAAAAATTCCTTTTTCTTATACCGCAATTGTTTTACAAATTTTTTTAAACAATTTAAAAAAAAATTTTAACGGATTCAATCTCAAGTTTGGAAGAAAATGTTGAGAAATGATGAAGAGACAGTGATGGTGACTGAAAGAAGAAAATGATGACAACACTGATGGCAAAGTAAAAGACATGATGAGGACCGACAGGAGGAAATTATTGTATTAGAATGATTGTAAACTGTGAAGAAATGATACAACAATGATGAAATGATGATTATGGAATGGCGACGGTAGAATAGTTTCAGGCATTAGTAAATTTTAACATTATACCGCTAGATTATGGTGAAACAAAAACCACCACGTCCCACCATGAACATGTGATCGAATGCCAATTAAAAAAAATGTTTATTGTTGTTTTCATAAAATCTATTTTAATTAATTTTCAGATCACACGGGTATAAAAAAAAACTTTAACCCAAGAAAACAAGCTTAAATCCAAGTAGCAAACGCATTGTATAGATAAGTGGGATTTCCTTGCGTTCAAACCTAATCACTACAATAGCACGAGCAGGTGCCTTATCCATAACACTATTTCAAACATGCTGAAGAAACCATTGACAAATAATACAGTAGTAGGCTGTTTATACAGTGTTTGCTGTCAATGTTAACAACGCATAATCTAAATCTAAGTATTATTGATAATATAACGTTTATACAAAGGAACGTTCAATTCAATTGTCTTGCTAAACTTGTTGTTACAGAAATGTAAATAAAATAAATTCATCGATAATTAGTTAGTTGTTAAATTAAACTAATTTAATAAGTTAATAAACTAATAATAAGTTGAACTGCACATATTTGTTAACTTAAACTAATTTAACTAATAATAAGTTGAACTAAACATAATTGTTAATTAAACCATACACATTATTATTGATTTAAATTAAGCAAAGTATATATGGGGGTGAGTATCAATCATAGAAAAGTAATGGGTCTTAAAACTTTTAAACAGTATAATCGATTTCATTAAGGTAAGCCTTGATTTGATAGATCAGACCGTCAACATCCATGAAATCTGTACCATCTGTAAAATTATATACAAACAAAATGAAGTATGGAGTTAATTTAAAATTTATTCTTTTTATTAAAGAGCTGCTATGCTTGCTCTTGGGTGTTATAGTTCAATTTCAATGTAATTTCGCAATAGTTAAGAAAGTTGTGGAATGCTACAAAAAAGAGCGCTATATGAATTCGAGTAAGTGAATGATTGATTTCATCCACTGGTATACATTAATAGTAGTGTAATTATGTAAAAAAAACTAACAAATTATTTGTTGCTGTAGTTGAAGCAGTTGTTTCGTTTGTTGTTGCAGCTGTTGCATTGCTTTGTTAAGAAGCAGTAACTTCTTTGTGGTCACAGCAGACACTGCCGAAATAACGGTTTTTGTTGTAGGTGGAGTCGTGGTTGCAAAGGCAGTTGTAGTAGTAGAAACTGTAGTAGTGCTAGTAGCAGTACTTGTAGTAGTAGCAGTAGTAGTAGCAGTGGTGGTAGTAGTAGTATAAGTTTCAGAAGAAATTTCATTAGTAGTAGTAGTAGTATTAGTAGTTTCAGTAGGAGTAGTAGTAGTAGTAGTAGTAGTAGTAGTAGTAGTAGTAGTAGTAGTAGTAGTAGTAGTAGTAGTAGTAGTAGTAGTAGTAGTAGTAGTAGTAGTAGTAGTAGTAGTAGTAGTAGTAGTAGTAGTAGGAGTAGTAGTAGTAATTTTAGCAGTTGTTGCTTCAAATGTTCTTTGGCAAATCAGAATAACTGTTTTAAAAATTTCTTCGATATAAATGCCACCACTAATTAGAAAAAATTAAATGAATTATCTCTATGAAAAGTGAAGCCGATTGCAATGACATGTTCGAAAATTATAAGTGACATGGTAGCAAACGAATTTTTTGATGATGTTATATAAAGTAATTTTGTAACTTACCCAAAATGAAGAACGCGAAGATGAATTTGCTCATTTTGATGTTTCAGCTGGTAATAAAAATTTTTTGGTTCAGAAGAATATTATTAATTTAAAAAAGAAATACCATGAATAATGAAAATTATTCTTTAGAAATTATATTTAAGGTGTAAAATAGTATTAAATCAAACAATTTACCAACCAACCAGCCAAGCCAACCAACCAACCAAACAACCATCCAACTAACCAGCCAACCAGCCAGCCAGCCAACCAACCAACCAACCAACAAACCAACCAACCAACCAACCAAACAACCAACTAACCAACCAACCAACCAACCAACCAAACAACCAACTAACCAACCAACTAACCAACCAACCAACTAACCAACCAATTAACCAGCCAATCAACCAACCAACCAACGAACAAATTAACCAACCAAACAATTAATCAGTATATAGCAATTAAAATAAATATTTAAATTTTTCTAATTAATTGTTTGTTTAAATTATTAATTAATTAAACAACCAATCGAATAATTCAACTGATCGAGTGTATTTTCAACAAAAATTTTTAATGGCCTCAAATGTTTAAATGTTTAAATAAAATTTAAATGCGTAGTGTAAACTCAGCAGTGGCCATGAAGTCACCTATTTCAACCTAGGCTATGAATTATTTAGAAATAAAGAATAATAATCAAAATAATTTAAATGCAACTAATAATAAAATTATTATTATTGTTATTATATGTAGTAGCAGTAGTAGTAGCAGTAGCAGTAGCAGTATTAGTAGTAGTATTAGTAGTATTATTATTATTATTATTATTAGTAGTAGTAGTAGTAGTAGAGGTAGTAATAGTAGTAGTAGTAATAGTAGTAGTAATAGTAGTAGTGTTAGTAGTAGTAGTAGTAGTAGTAGTAGCAGTATAATGCTAATAATTATAGAAGCAATAAAAATAAACGTAATACAATTACTGCTAATGATGAATTTTATAGCTAATTTGTTTTCAAATGCCGGTTAAGCTTCACATTAAAAGAAATATAATGAATAAGTATATATTAAAATAGTGATTGTGTAGTTATTTGTGTGCGTGTGCGTGTATATGTGTTGCGTGCGTGTATATGTGTTGCGTGCGTGTATATGTGTTGCGTGCGTGTGTGTGTGTGTGTGTGTGTGTGCGTGCGTGCGTCGTTTCGTTACTACCTGAGAATTTAGCTACAAGCAATTAAAATTATATCACAGTAAGTGTGTATGTGTGTTTATGTGTTTGTGTGTGTGTGAGAGAGAGAGAGAGAGAAAGTGTTTGTGAGAGAAAAAGAGAGTGCGAGAAAAAAGTGTGTGTGTGTGTGTGAGAGTGTTTGTCTTCAAATGTGTTAATAATCTTAATGTATTCTTAAATGAGTTCATGTTCGCAGACGTTTGATGGGTACTTTTAAATATCTACAAAAATGAGCGAGAATCATTTTAGTGTTATGCACAATAACACCATAGTGCTAGAGCAAGTATGGGACGAATGAACGAATGAATTGAAAATTGTACTAGAAACAAGCGACTGAATGGATGAAAAATTGATCGATTGAAAAACTAACAAACAGAACGAGTGAATGAATGAAAGAATGAACAAAAAAGAACAAACGATTGAAAAAATTAATTTGAGCTAAACTTATTAAAGAACGAGATAAGTTATGACTAAGTCGGACCATCGTTATGACATTATTAAAAGTTATCCTACCAACAGCAATGTGTTTTATTATCTGATTTTATTGGTTTTAAATAATTTTAATGATTTAATAAAAAATTAATTTAAATTTTGTGT